CAGTTTACACAAATCAAACAGCACCCTCCTATTGACCAATTGCGGTAGAATCGCGTTAGAATCGCGTCAACGCAGCTTGTGAAATATTGTCCAATTGCATGATATACGAATGGATGCAGAACGCTCAAAACTTAGCTTACAAAAATTCCATATAGGGTTGTCTAATTGGGCGTGGCTAACTTGAAAATGGCGATAGGTCAATTGTGTCTACCATAACTCAAATACATGTAGGCTAATCAGGCATGCAACTGTACATTCACAAAAAAAAAGAGGGAATTCCAAAATCCAGAAGACTTTGTACAGTGTTTTTCTATTTTTAATGGCTAAAATGTGAATAAAATAAATCAGCTGATCTGAGAAAAGTTGCATGCCTGGTTAATAAGTATTTTGCAGCAGTATATTCACCAATCGACTTGTCTCGTTTTATCTAATTTAAACTATGGACAAAGGATACAGTGCTAGGTTTCCCTTGACCTTCCTTGCCGTTTGGGCCGAGTGAACCCTTGCATTCACAAACTCCCAGATATCAAGCAGACCGCCTCTGCAAATCCTACAAAAAACGAGGAGAGAAAGAGATTACAATGTAACAGTACATGTAGATATTCTAAAACAATTAGCGGTGGTCAGTCGAGTCCAAGGGCAAATTAGGCAAACTCAACAAGTAGGGCAAGGTTTCAATGTACAAAATGCATGCAGACCAAAACCATTAAAAATAACCTGGAAGTGGACCGCGTAGACGGAACGAAATGGCTACAAACAGAAGAAAAGAGAAAGACGAAACAGAAACGCGAAACAGCTACGACCGACAGGGCTGACTATTAACAAAAATATAAGGGTCCGCAGTGAGTTTTGAAATATCGAGTGATGAGCTTGTGCCAGAGGCCAGAATGGTAGTAATGCCCAAATGATCATGGTAATGCACATGTTGTGCACTGAGAGTTGTAAAGTAACAATTGGATTGCAGTTTTCTGAATAGTTTTCTTCACCGATCTTGTTTTGACCAATTCGCACCGGGATTATTCTGCCATTGACCGGACCCAGGTGCTGGATTGTTTTTCACGAACCTCGATGCCAGACGGATTCAGGCCGCCATCTGCGGGTAGCACACCCTGATATTTCCGGCCTCGCTCGCTGCGAGCGGGTCGCAGACTGATATTTCCGCCCTCGTCTGTTGCATGCATATCCATCATCCATACCAAATTTTGCAAAACCTTTGCATGTATGCACGTCATCTGACGTGAACTGGTAAAAAGCACTGTAGTTTCACATCAGCAATATCTAAAAGCCACTTTCGGTGCATGCACACAATGATATGAGGCATGGGTCATTCGGGATAATCAAATTGCTCATCGAAGGCGCACGACGCTTGCGTGTTGATTACAAGCAGCATGGGCGTCCGTGTAATGTCATTGAGTATCATCACTTCGTCGATTTAAATCCCAAATGACCTTTGACCTGGGCTACATGTACGTCATCGAGGTACCGAACTGGCTTATTATGAGTACCTCTTTACCAAACTGACGAGTCTTTTTAAATCCATAACAAGTCAGATCACAAGTCAAATCACAAGTCACATCACAAGTCACATCACAAGTCACATCACAAGTCACATCACAAGTCACATCACAAGTCACATCACAAGTCACATCACAAGTCATATCACAAGTCAAATCACAAGTCATATCACAAGTCATATCACAAGTCATATTACAAGTCAAATCACAAGTCATATCACAAGTCATATCACAAGTCATATCACAAGTCATATCACAAGTCATATCACAAGTCACATCACAAGTCACATCACAAGTCATATCACAAGTCATATCACAAGTCAAATCACAAGTCAAATCACAAGTCATATCACAAGTCAAATCACAAGTCAAATCACAAGTCATATCACAAGTCAAATCACAAGGCAAATCACAAGTCATATCACAAGTCAAATCACAAGTAAAATCACAAGTCATATCACAAGTCAAATCACAAGTCAAATCACAAGTCATATCACAAGTCAAATCACAAGTCACATCACAAGTCAAATCACAAGTCAAATCACAAGTCATATCACAAGTCAAGTCAGGTCACAGCTACGGGATTAACAATGACAGAGACATGTCTTCGTCACAATTTATTTCGATAGCGGGTGACGCGACAGCAGACTACATGGTGACTTTTTCATTATTGTACTTGTGATGTATTGGACACATCTTCTGCCTCCAATTCCCCTGACACCTCCTCACCCTCTCAGTTCTTGTGGCGTTGGCATGGGAGCATTGACGTGCCGGCCCTGGGGCACAAAGTTCATCTCCATCGTGGCCCATTTGTGGAGGAGGGCCGCCACTTCACTGCGTTTGTCAGACATCATCAAAAGCTGCTCATCAGACAGTGACAATTTCTACAAATGGGAAGAAAAGCAAAACTCCTTCTCATAAAATGAAGAAGTATAAGGCCAAAAAAAAAGTCTCCGGTTTCTGGTATGGAGCTTGCCCCAAAAGTGGTGCGGCGATGCGGCTTTTTTTTTTTTTACCTGTTTTTTTTTTTTTTGGCTTCAAATGTCGTCTGATGACTGCAAATGGTGCCCGACTAAACTTAGTGCAAATATATGGAAGTCCAGAGAGGCCACATAAAGCTTATTCTCGATCATAACCCCATCTAAAAACACGTTAAAATTGTGCAGCAGCAGGATTCCAGTCAAACCAGTGAGTTTGGCAGTTTTGAGACATCATCTTGTATTGAAAAAAAAACCTTTTCATTTTGCCGACGCGCATGGCTACGGCGACGCGCGCGCATACCAGAAACCGGAGACTTTTTTGTTTTGGCCTAAAGGATTTGTTTTTTACACCATCCACTTCTGCCTGTTTCCTCTCCACCTTCTCCTAGACATGCTAATTGGGATGCTAGAATTTTTTTTTTTTCGAATTTCGGATGCTACCAATGTAGTCAAACTTAATCCAAATTTCTAAAAAAGGAGTTCTAGCGCCCAAATTAGTGGGTCTACCCTCCTCCCACACACACACACACATAAATAGGGGAAAAATGTCGCATTTCCTAACAAAATTGGAAATATCGTTTCGGTTTGCGGTGACACCATGTGGTAATAACTACTGCTTAGAAGATATTTAGTTCTGAAAACTCTTGTCCTGCTTATTATCAACTTTCGCTAAGTAGTTTTTGTTCTGATACGAACAGTCCTGCTTTAAGTTCTAAAAGAACTTCTCTTTGGTCTCAACATTTTGACTAGCCTGCTCTGGTCATCGTCAGGAGACGGACGGGAAATTGGACATGTTTCTCACTCAGTCTCAAATTCGTGGCTTTTCAACTTCTTTTGTAAATGACTGACCTTCACTGAGATGACGTGATGAGAACAGTCACGACAGTGTCATGATGCAACGTTCTTTCTGTATTGGCTAATGACAAAATTGAAATTTCTGTCTTTTCAACTTCAAGCAACATTTTTTTCGACCTGCACTTGGCTCCATGGCTTGAGTAACTCCAGCTGACATGCTAATTCACATTGTGAGTATTATCAGCTGAAGTTACTCAAGCTCATTTTTAATAGGTTTCATTTTATTTAGCAGGAATAAAAAACACACAAGTATTTTAGGCAAGTCCAAGCTTGAGTAACTCCAGCTGACATGCTCATATTCATTCACATGAATATGATTATGAGCATGTCAGCTGGAGTTACTCAAGCTAGGCAAGTCCAAGTCACCAAGAACTAAAAAGTGGATTTTCGTTCTCTTCTTATAAACTAGGCCTATAGACTAATACTAGTCCGAAAATTTGGGACTCTCAATACTGTGTATGAGAGTCCCAAAACTTAAGGTATCCATATCGTGCAAAACTTTGTGCTGCATAATAAAACCAGTGTGAATCAAATTTGCAAGCTTCTTACTCACTACAGTTTCTTCAATAATCCCTGAAACTTCTGCCTAGCAAAGTTACTGTTGTCAGCATTGCATCACCAAAATTTCAGCTTTTAATTCTAATTTTGCAGAGAGTTATCGAAATCCATACGTGAGACATCACATTGATGTGTACTGCAATGCATTGTGCAAAAAGACTCCTCAGATAACATTTTCATCGTGTAGATAAAACAGCACCCTCTTGTTGATCTGAGTGAATGCAAAATGTTTCATTTTTTAGCAGAGGGCGCTATGCTCATTTGGCCATTGATTAAAAAACAAGTTAGCTGCAAGGCTCTTCCTACACCTACCCAGAATACCTTGGGAATCACACCACCATTTCTAAAGCATGGAGAATGACGTGGATGGTTTTTGAACTGTCAAAAACTTGCCTTAAAATTGGATTCAAGGTCTCAAATTTCGCAGAAGACATGCTTGCAACTATAGCATTTTGATGTTTGTGTTGTGTGGACATTAATTAGCCGAATGGTGAGTAAACAAATGTCAGTAGTAATTTTGCACGTTTTTATGCACTCATGGTCCCAGTCTGGAGGTATACTAAGAGTAACGACCCCCCCCCCTAAATTTGTGTACGAGAAAAATGCTCAAAACGATAACATTTTAAATTAGAAATGAGACTGACAGTGACAATGACCTGATGACTGACACAGTGACAATGACTGAGAGGAGAGAAATTAGAAAATGAGGTTAAAAAATATATGATGAAAAAAATTGGTGAAAGGGCGCAACATTCTAGTAGTAACGGTCATTTCAAGTCCAGGCATTATTTCTTGATGTATGATACATACCTCAGAATTCAATTAATTATGTGAAATGGAAAAAATGAGATTTCCGTGAGCGGGTCACGCTTCGATGCTTCGGTTCGGGTCGGGAGCCACTTCTGAAGTTACCGCGTAACTTAACTAACTTGCCCACTTGAGGGCGCGCTCGCTACGAGTAGACCCGAAAGGCAAAACACCCCTACTTAACACAATAGTCTGATTCATTTTGTACTTTTTCTTATTTTAGATACACATACAGTCTAAAATAACACCTGCTTGTTATTAAAGAATAATTCTTATGCAATCACAATCAAATAAATCAGTCTAAATTGTCATTTATTGTCACTTAAAAACAAACTTTTAATCCTAAATGACGGGACCATTCTAAAAAAGGGTAGACGGAAATTCAGGGTCAAAGTTCAACCGCACGGCGGGATTTGAGATGTTTATTTTTCGGAGAAGTGAAATCCAACTTTAGTTTAGTTCCCGTTTTTGCCTGTAACAAATCAAACATTCTTCAGTTTGCTATTGACAAAATTTCCTCAAAATGCCTGTCATCAAGTTGCAGCATGTTGTGTCATGCAGTAGCGAAGATACGGTAAGGAGTGATTTCCGAACTTGCCATTAGTTGACATAGGATTTTACCTTAACCCGTAACGGTATTACAATCACAATTTCGTTTTGCACTGTTATTTGTTACTTACCACTGATGCTGAGTGTCGTTTAGGTTTGGAAATCAAATAGAGTTCATACATTCCGTTCACTGATTCGAGTTGTTTCTGTTGGATTTGATATTGAAGTAACTTGAACAGAAACTCCTGATAATTTTTTTATTTCCAACTTTACAAATTAAATAACTCTCCAAAAGTCCAAATGACATTAAAGATAAGGTAGGATTTCCATATCTGGCCATCACTAATTTTCCCTTCAGTGATGACCTATCAGCCATCAGAAAGTGATAATATAGGCCTATGTCCTAAAAAGTAAGATTTAGCAGGGAAAATATTGAAGTATTTACTGAGAAAACACTTAGCAATTTTCAGACTGTCAAGGCTGATGTTTGATTTTGTTTTATTTGTATCAGGAAAACGTCATGTTATCCTCATTCTCCATTTTTTAAACTAAGGACTAGAGTGAGTTTATGGTTAACCGAATTTGAATAAAACATGAGCACCCCATCTTCTTGTCTGTTTCGTTCCTGTTCATTGAGCCATGGTAAAGGAAGTAATGGATGAAGTTGTAATTTGCATGACAGAAGTATGAATGGGTGAGGAATGTGAACGTTAGCGAATGGCAAGGCTTGTGCGGCTTGCTGGAAAATAAAAATCGCTTGAAGGCAGAGCGCAACGGTTAGCGCTGCCGAGCAACCACCAGATTTGCTGGCGCAAAAAGCTACTTTTTCTGAGGCAGGATTTGCCTGTTTTACCGTGAGTATTGACACAAGGTTATTGGTTTTTTTTATTTAAGAGATGTTTGATACTTTATTGCTTTGATCTGTTGTTCTGATAAAATGTTTAATTGTGAAACATTTACTAGAATACCCATGCTGTGTATTAACCCAGTGAGACATATCCCGAGACATTGATTAATTAATTGACTAAGTTATTTCTTAATGTATATTTAATGCATGATACAGCTCTTTGATATAGTCTTTTCGATTGAGAAAGATGGATCAACTTCTTAGGGAATTTAAAACCCGGAATAGAATTGATTATTATGAACGTTGTTTCGAGCCAGCAGCATGTTTTATAGATAGATTTCCCGTCATTATGTGTAGGGAATATATCTTTGAATATTTTTTCAGATGGCTCAAAAGTCAGGTTTTGGACAAAGTCCACGACTAGCCTAGTCCTAGTCAAGAGCCCAGCAAGACACCGCTCATTATCAGACCCGAGGTGGCGAGATGAGACGGGGTTGACGCCGCACACAGTTGACGGCAACAGTACAGCCGGTACATGACCATTCCCGAGGACACCGATCACAGACGGCAGGATCCAGGGACAAGTAGAACGTCACAGCGCTAGGGGTGCACCAGTTATCGTCGAGACGAGTACATGTACATGTGAATAGTGGTGGGCCCATCATTTTTTTTATGCCCCGCGGCGAAGCCGAAGGGGCATACTGTTTCCGCCTTGTCCTTCCGTGGGTGGGTGGGTGGGTGGGTGGGTGGGTGGGTGGGTGGGTGGGTGGGTGTGTGGGTGTGTGGGTGTGGGTGGGTGAGCTTGTCTTACATACGCAGTGTGGACTTCCGAACAAAAGACGTCCACATAATGTAGGTAGCACCGACGTTGTGTGGACTTGCCCCACGTCCACACAGTGTTTCCCCATTTCTGGAAAACAGGTTTAGAGGCATTTTTGGGTTAGGTTTATCTGTAGCAGAATGAAGAGAAACACTAAAGGGAATCATAGAAAAAAAATTGGGTTGAAAGAGTTTTCACAGTTTGAGAAAAATGAGTTTTTTCACTGGTTTTTCTTAACTACACGAAAGCAATGGAAAGTCCACACTAGTCATGTGAAACAAGTATGGGTGGGTGTGTGGGTGTGTGTGTCCGGACAAATCTTGTCAGCGCGATAACTTGAGAAATACTTAACATATGAACTTCAAATTTGGTTTGTGGATTGTTCTTGGTAACCCTAAGAAGCCTTTCGCATTTGGGGCCAAAAGGCCAAAGGTCAAGTTCACAGTGGCTAAAACAATAGAAATCTTGTCAGCGCGATAACTTGAGAAATACTTAACATATGAACTTCAAATTTGGTTTGTGGATTGTTCTTGGTAATCCTAAGAAGCCTTTCGCATTTGGGGCCAAAAGGCCAAAGGTCAAGTTCACAGTGGCTAAAACAATAGAAATCTTGTATTTATTCTGAGATTATAGGGATTAGGGATTAATTCATATAAAACCTACAGAAGACACTAATGCTGTCAATGAATGTTCCATGTGACCAAGGTACATGTAAGTTGATGTTAAAAGAGTGGTGTTATGTCATGGGAACAGTCACGGTTGCGGGGCATTTGTGTTTGTACACACACCTGACTTGTTTGTATAGATATAGCCCGGATTTGATATTGTAAAGAAATTGTTGCCTGAGAGCAATTGAGTAAAAATCAAACATAAAGTCAAGAATTTTGAATTTCGTGTCATCAGTATTTGATTGATTGATTGAAAATTAGCCGATTGATATATATTTGAAGTTATTGAAAGTGCGTTTAAGGAGTTAAATTTTCTCACGTGGATAACATTGCATTAGTGAATTTTTTTGTTTAGCTACGAGACGTGTAGCACAGAGTAATACCATACTTTTGGAAGTTGATTTGGTTGTTTCACTAGTGATTTGAGGGTTTGACGAGACCAGTGTTAATGTGATTTAATCCATTAATATTTGTATATATTAATTTTGATTATTATTATTTTGGGGATTTATTTTCTTAATTAAATTTTGTTCAATATAATTGGAAGTTTCTCTTGAGTTTTCTTTCTGTTTCCCTTATATATACTGTCTTTGGTTGGGTGACAAACGTAAAAACCTTTTGTTTTCGCGCAGCATTTCAGGCGCGTGTTACACAGACCAGTCACATCATGTTCATACGGTTTGTGCACAGGGTGACAAGTGATGGCCAGATACGGGAATCTTTCCAAAAATGTAAATAAACTTGCAGGAAAAACCTTAATTTAATGTTTAAGTGTGCTTTCAACCTGTTGCGAAACATAACCAGTCAAAATCAAAAGCAAAAAAAAAAAAAATGGAAAAAATCCAAACCCCCAAAAATTCCTCCTAAGAGAGAACCAAAAACACAAACAACCATATATTCCCAAGGTGGCAGTGTGACTCAGATCAGAGGCAGTATGAAATTAGGCATATGCCAGTGAAAAGAGTAAACCTGCCTCCCTTTAAAAAAAAAAAAAAGCCCAGATGAGAAACTACATTTTTTTACTTGGCACAAGAAACTACTTTTTTTACGTTTGAAATGAGACTGCTCCAGATTTGAGTGCAGCACCCGATTTCACGAAGCGCTGCGACGCATCGCAACTCGAGTTACGACGTGTAACACGTCGCAACTCGCGACGCATCGTATCATCCATTTCACGAAAGTTGCGATGTGTTGAACGCGTCGTAAGTTCCTTGACAACGGCTTAAAACACGTCGCAAGTTAAGACGTGTCTAGTGGTCGTCGCAAAATAAGAAAAGTCATTTCTAAGCCAGTTTTATGCCATAAATATTACATTAACGAGATTATAATACCGAGGCAATGTGTGTAAAGTTGTAAATAGACAATTCATTGAATAATTATGAATTAGACCGGAATATTAGAATTGAAATTTCAAAGTAGCTATACAGTCCAATGAGAGTTTGTTTTCCTTCAAAATTGCATCCCACGGCCGCCATTTTGTTTTACGTTTTAACAAATTTCGAGCTTAGATCCGACGACTCTTTGTTGAATGTCAGACGACTATTTACTGTACGCTGACTAAATACATAAAACAGTCACCGAGTTGTGCTATAAATACACCTACGACGCGTCGCACTTACGACGTGTTTTGTGAAATGGATCGCAGGACGCGTCGCAGCTGCGACGCATCGTAGAGATACGATGCGTCGCATCGCTGCGATGCATCGTAAGTTACGAAGAGTTTGATGAAATCAGGTGCTGGTTAGGTTGTGTTTTTACGGCCCCACCCTCTTTTTGGTTGTCCTCTGTAACTTTTACTGCAAATGAAAAATTTGCTCACCAGATAGAAGGAGTAAAGAACAGTTGACAAGTCAGTGTTAGTTAATAAAAAAACCAACTTTTTTTTACTGTCTTCTTACCCAGACCCACAAGGCAGACAACCTGTTAAAGCCAGAAAGCTACCGCAAATGGAAATGCGCTGAGAATGCCAAAAGACACGCGTCTGTTATCCTGCAGGTAAATAACAATGCACACTGAACCTATTTTCCATTTGTTTTCCTGATTGTATGTTTTCTTGAGACTTTACAGATCTTACTTTTTCATCATTCCAGAGGTTTTTTTTTAGGCAGTGGATATTGAGCCAGCAGCAATAATTTCTTGCAGGTTTTCACAGAGGTACATATCAGTAAGCCCCGGCTTTTTGAGTAAACGCTAGTTTGCTAGAGCAAAGCGAGCACAATGGTGAAGCCACCTACCCCATGAAGCCTCGTTTATAAAGGTCTTAATTAGGCCTGGGAAAGTCGTGGATTATTCTACTCGAGTACTCGCAGAGAAATTACTCGTGAGTAGTCAAATACTCGCGAGTAGTTTACTAAATCCCCATAAAAAAAAAAAAATGGCATATACATAATTGAGAAGAAGGAAGTTACTACGAATAAACAGCGTGGAAGACACACCACATTCAACAGCACTGAGATATGCTTACTCTGCAAAATTTTGGCTCATTTTACTTGAAAATGTATTATTTGTTGAGAGCGTTAGTGGAATCCCAAGGAAACAGATGGAGGTAGTGATTCCTTTATTGCGGGGGATGTATTAAGAAGAATGACAAGTCTGTCGCAGAATCCGCAAAGTGGTTACTTTATAATAATTTGGGAGGCTAATCATCCTTACTCGCAGCTGGTATGCTGAATTGCGAAGGACGCGGCTACAACGTGGTCGAGCCGCTGGCACGTAAAGGTGCCTACGGCTGCCGGCCACATCGACCCATATATGACCACGGAGCACAGCCTGAGATCGAAAGTGTTTGATTTTTCTGGAGGGAGGAAAACCGGAGGGCCCAGAGAAAAACCCTCGAGGCACAGGAGAGAACCAACGCACAACTCTACTCACATGTGATACGTGGCCAGGATTCGAACCGTGGTCACCTTAGTGAGAGGCGAGCGCTTTACGCACAAGCTATCCATGCCAGCCCATTTAAAAGTCAGCACTTGTGAAACACAATTGCTACTCGTGAGTACCTGCTTTTACTCGTTCCAGGACAAGTACTCGAGTAAATGAAAAACCACGAGTAGTACAACAAGTAGCAAACACTACTTGTGAGTACTTGACTACTCACGGCACTCGCCCAGCACTAATTTAATCATCTTTGATTGACTCTCTGTACAGTAGATTTTGTTTATTTTTTGTTTCAGTTTGAGAAAGCCTCCCAGATCCATTCCATCGATGTTGGCAATGAGAGCTCGGCATTCGTGGAGATCTTGGTCGGTCATTCTACCTCCACTGCTTTGGATGATTATCAGGTGCGTGAACTCCTGGCTGGAGTTCTTTCAGCTGCTCATGAGAGTTTCTTTTTTTAGCTGCAGACAGCATCTCAACAAATCGCGGCGTCTCTCCGTTAGTTAGTTGGTTCGTACCAAATGTTGTTTGTTCATAACAAACGTCCCTGTGAGAGCTTTGCTTACGTATGACAATATGCGTCACAGCTGAATGCACTTGATACACACAGCCCGCCGCGGCGAGTCGGTGATGATTTCTCCGAATTCAGAATTCTTGGGTATACATGAACTTCAGCTTGTAACAAGATTGGAATACTTCTGGGATCATTTCAAGCTTGTTTGGATTTGTGCCTTTTTTTTCTTAACTTTGTCAAAAGTAACCAATTTAATCCCCCCCTCCCCAAAATGAAAATTGTAGTCAGACCTTGCAGTGATGAACCCTCTGTCATTCTGTACAATTCACAGGTGGTCCTAGTGACGTCGTCGTTCATGAGTCCCATGGACAGCAAGAATGGCATTAACACCAACCGCGTCCGCATGTTCGGACCGGACAAGCTGTCCAAAGCTGTCGCGGACAAGAAGTGGGACCGTGCCAAAATAGTCTGCTCCCAACCCTTCAACAAGGTGAAGCACAGAGCTGGGGTCACAGACTGGGACATGGAGTGCTCTGAAACGTGCACAACTAAATCAGGCCAACTTTACTATTATTATTATTATTATTATTAATCATTTCTGGTAATGAAACCAAGGATTCCTCAAAAGCGCCCTAGGCACTGTAGCTCGCAAGCCTGAAGAAACCTGTGGAGAGAAGAAGACAATGAGAAGAAGTTAAAGTTTTAGAGGTGGGAGGAAAAGCCCAGAAGAATATTCTGGGGAAAACCCATGGTATCAGGCAGGGACTGAAAACCCAATCCACATGTTGGCCCAGGCGGGATTCGAACCCGGGTCACAGCGGTGGAAGGCGAGGAAAGTACCGCTACGCCAACCTGACTCCCCGCTACGCCAACCTGACTCTTTAGCCAGCAAATTTCTCCAAAAATTCCATTGGGCAAAGAAAAGTTCCTCAGTATTTCACCAGCCAAGTTTGCAGACTCAATTCAATTTTTAAAGGAGATGTTTCTTCAATATTTTGCACATGAGAGGGAAGTCCAGTGATTTCAAAATGAGGCTAAAGACTAGACTGGTACATGCCTAATCATGGTCCAACTGTTTGAAAAGACTGACCTCTTCATTCAGTGTCATTAGTCTGGTGGCCGACTATGGAGAAATGTGTAGTAAATAGAGACTAGTTCCCGGTTCATGCCACATGTTTCTTTTGGCACAGTTGACTGATGCAGTACTGAAGCTGTGTTGCACTGTTGTTTCAGGTGCCAGTTTTTTCTTGTATTCCATGTTTTCAATACCTTAAGTTTTGGGACTCTTCATCACACAAAGTATTGAGAGTTCCAAATTTTCGAACTAGCGTTCCTAGCGCTATTAGTGAACAGTGAACCAATATGGATAATTTTGTAGCCCTCTCTTTCCCTCTCTTCATTTGTTATGGCACATATTGTACAAATCCAAAAAAATGTGCCATTGCTTTCTGTGCGTTTTTATCTGAACAATTCCAGCGTTATTAAAAGAAGTGTCATGTTCGTGACGGAGCTTATAACCCTAAACTCCCTAGGCATTTTTGCTAGGATGAAACCTCAATCCCGCAAACTCCTCCGGCTGCCTCCATGTAAAAATTGCATACAGCCTCAATCCTGCAAAATCCTCCCGTTATTTCATGAATGTGGTCCTTGGAGGGGTGACCACTGCCTCAATTTTGGAAAATGCTCCAGCAATCACTGTCAGTATGTTGAGGCAGAGCCAGTGACATCCTGGAGCAGTGCGGAGGATTTCAAGTATAATCTAGGCCTAAATTTATGCACGGCTGAGCATAACAGCCCAAGGTCCGGCCCAAGACCTTGACACAGTGCATCCTCCAAAATCAGCAACACACTTTTGCCATGTAGCCTCAATCCTGCAAACTTCTCCATTTTGCAAAAAAGGATTGTGGTGGATATGGGAAGGTTGGGGTTAACCATAATATCTAATTATATATTCAGAGAAACGATCCAAAACTCCTAGTTTTTAATCTCCTTGACTATTGCTACAGGGAGAGTCCAAAAGAAAGTGTCACAGTGAGATAAAATGTTCACAACCCGTGCATTTCGTTTTCACAGTTTCTGTCGTACGGCCTGTCTTTCGTCAAGTTTCATGCGCCACCAACGGAGGAAGAAACATCATCTGGACAGCATGGCCAACAATCTCAGGTCTGTGCACCCACAGCGCTTTTTTCTCAGATTTAAAATCCCAACAACAAAATGAATAATGGATGAACATTTCTTTGAAACAGGCTGTTTTTTTTCTCCTGTTCTGCATATAAAAAAAATGAAATCAGAAATTATAAGCAGAGTCTAGTACATGTAGTTAAACGGGTGTGAAAAACATAATCCTTGAATATTAATGCTAATATTGATAAGGCCAAAAAAAAAGTCTCCGGTTTCTGGCATGGAGCTTGCCCAAAAAGTGGTGCGGCGACGCGGCTTTTTTTTTTTTTTTTACCTGATTTTTTTGCTTCAAATGTCGGCTGATGACTGCAAATGGTGCCCGACTAAACTTAGTGCAAATATATGGGAGTCCAGAGAGGTCACATAAAGCTTACTCTCGACCATAACCCAATCTAAAAACACGTTAAAATTGTGCAGCAGCAGGATTCCAGTCAAACCAGCGAGTTTGGCGGTTTTGAGACATGATCTTTCATTGAAAAAAAAAACTTTTTCATTTTGCCGATGCGCATGGCTACGGCGACGCGCGCGCATACCAGAAACTGGAGACTTTTTTTTTTGGCCTAATCCTTGAATGTTAAATAAATAACAATTTGGCATTCTTCTTCCTTTCATTGCTAAAGTGGCAGTGTAACTGGTAACCCTAACTCCCTACTCCCTACAAAATCCATCACTCTCTCTGCTTCCAATACATGACATAATGGAATCCACCACTGAAGTACTGGTGGATATTGATAGACTTTACACGTGGCTTATCAACAGCAGTACAGCATGCTAGGCAAAATCAATCGGATTTCCCTAGCACTGCTTCAGGCCTCCCAGTCCAAGTCCATCATACTCCATCAAAATTCAGTCAAACCGGCCTGCTGCCAGAAGGACCATTATTATATTATTATTATTTCATGGTTTATTAAAAACATTTTCCATCGCAGCCAAAGGCTGAATTAGGGAAAACAATACATTTGTTCAATTTACATAAAAAGTAGAATAGGCTTAATATAAAACGACCAAAAATAAACACACAGCGTTAGACACACAAAAAATTGAGAAGAGCGAGAAAACAATGCAATTATGAAAATATGTAGTTGTACAAGGTTATTAGTAAAAAGAGATATCAAAAGATTACCAAAAAAAAAAAAAAAAAATACTGAAAGAGTAGGACTAAACACTTTAGTACAATGAGTTTCATTGCTTTGCAGTGCCGCAAAATGTTCATTGACAAAATAAAAAGATATCTATTGAGTTGTATTCAAAAGATTGATCAGATGTGGCACAGGACTGTTCTTAAATCTGGAGGTATTGCACTTGAGTTCAGTTAATTTTGTTGAGTTCCTCAGATTGTAGCCAGATGTTGACCTTGTTTGCGGACCTAGACTCTCATGTTTTGAGTTCTTGAGAGATTTCGCAAATGCAATGCTCAATTGTTCTCATCTATGCTCAAGTGTGTCTAGTTTGCAGACTTGTAGAGCATCACAGTATCGTACGTAGTCCGGACCGAGGACTATTCTGCACGCTCTCTTCTGGATACGCTCTCTTCTGGATACTTATTTGTCCTCCCAAATCCACCAAAAACAGGGGATGGATTTTGATAAGAGTTGGTGAGGTTTAGGGTTATGATTCTTTACGCTTTACCTGTAGAGTTGCAGAGAACGTTTGATATTTATTTCTGGTTCCCTGTGTTTTCTGCCATTAGCAGACTACCTCCAAACTGGGCATGTTCAAATTGAAGGAAGACGCCAAAGCATCCTCCATCTCCCCGGGGAGTTTCTTCAAAAGCAGGAGCTCCATAAAGGCAGACCCAGCGCCTCTAACAGGTCAGTGTGGGGATTAGTGTTGTGATAAACACAAGTTGATACTCCGATGCCTTGAAAGTTTGTGTACAAAGGTGGAGAATTTGAAGGATGTTTGGAGATTTCAGGGAGGGCCTTGCTAGAAACATCCTAAGAGTGTTTCTATCAAAGGGAAAGTGCCCAATTGGGCTCCAAAACGCATTTTAAATGAAATGATGTTATCAAATGCCGTCATTTGCAACCGACTATCCACGTGCATTGGCATTTTGAGCGTGATCTTGCATAACGTGCATCGGCTATTCGAATTTAGAACACATTTCGAGCAACAAGCGCGTGTGTTTGGAGCATCTTCAACACTACGCAATGCATGCTTGATTGCGTAAAATACGCAGTTGCAGTTTTCCTACAGAGATGACCGTCATTGACAAGCCCTATTTGAAAAAGCACTTAAAAGTAAAACAGAAATGTCCACACAATCGTTGTTTAAAAATTTGCTGTTTTTGTGTTATTCTTGCGAGAATGAATTTTGGGGTCAAATTTTCACTCTAAAATCTCGAGCTGTTTTGGGTGCTAGTCGTGCATGTTCATATGTCCCACCAGCGCGCATCACATTCTGCGGACGTGCGAGAAACAACATTGGTATATTGGTACTGTGTGTATTATGTGACACACACGCACGGCTTGTACTGTTCATGGAATCGTCTGACATGGACACAGTTGCACGGCATGAAGGAGACTTGTATCTACGGCTAGAAAGACGTTTGCGTATGCCACAAAATGTCAGCCGCGTCTAGGATGTTTCGTCCTTTCTCAGGAACAGTGCGACATTAGGTTAGTTAGGTTAGACGTTTGAAAAAGGACGAGTAAACAACCTAAAGCATAAAAATCTTGCCAATGTGGCTCTTTAAGTAGTTTGCAGTCACAATCTTGGGTTTCTGCTGCGCTGGATTTGTTTTAGTCGCAGTGCTTGTGGTCAATTGTTGTTTTCCATTTGTCTCTGGTTCTCGCAGGTGCTGCAGCAGTCCGTGCAGCAGCCACGGTAGCAGCGGCATCTCTCACAAGCTCAGTCACAACATCACAGGCGACTACCGCTTCAACGGCATCTAACCAGGTACATGAATGCTTCATGTCAAGGCGAAATAGATATGCAGCAGACTGACCCGTTCAACTGTGGATTGATGCACCTCTACATATACATGCGTTGGTTGAACTGGTGTACTTTTGAAAAAAAAACATAGTCTGTCAGTACACAAATTGTGGATTTATTAGATGCTACATATAAAAACACAATTTTTCTAGAAAGTTGTGTTTTGAGTTTATAATATGCAGCTTTTGGTGTTTTCAAGAAATATCTCTTGCCAGAAAAGTAAAGAAAGTTTGTCTAATAACCATTTTCAGGTTGTCAAATTATCTTATGAAATGTGACAGATTTTTTTTATAATGTTCCAAAGGTTGTGAAGCACAATTTAATTGAGGGCGCCTTTTACATGTACTACTTTTGAGAGCCCTGTGAAAGGGACACACCACGTGTGCGTACTGGTTTGCGCGTGTATAGCGCAAATTGGGCCCAACTAATTTCATTCCAAATGTGCACAAAGCCATAGCGTCTCCGCGTGAGTGTCAGCCGTCGTCAGTGATGCGTTCCAATGTCCTCCCAACGGGCTACCCAACTCTTTCTTGCCGGTGAGGGGGTACTTGTGAACGAAGCCCATAGCAGAGCTAGCACCCAAATGTACTTGCAAACGCAGCTATGGGCTCTGCAGAGCCCATTTGGAGCCCATGGCCCATGCGAAGCCCATAGCAGAGCAAGCACCCAAATAATCTGAATACAATGTACGGGATTGATTTGTGTCTCTTTCCATAGTCATTCATTTGTAATGTAATCATTTGCCCAGACCCAGCAAAGAGCACCCAAGACAACCCCCTCCACCACCACACACAGACAGAGTGACACCAGGAGTGACACACCCCAGAAGACAACCCAGAAAAGGAGACTGTCAGATGAGGACGAGGCGCCCTCCAAACGGGCGGACAGTAAGGTAGCGGCTGGAAGGAGAAACGACGCAGACAAAGAGAAGGGAAGGAGTAAAGCCCCACCCCCAATGAAGAGTAGAGGTGTGTTCAGACTGGAAGCCATCAGAAGCAGTGCGGTTAATACCGAGCACAATGCAGGGCTCAATTATGCATGGCTGAACATAAACAATGCAGAATACAGCCTACAAACTCGACGCAATGCATCCTCCAAAAACAACTAGACTTAATTTTGCCATTCGTTCTCAATCCACCAAAATCCTCCAAACCGTCTTGAGGATTTTGGAGGATTGACAAAGGTTAGGGTTAATCAAGTAATACACTCAGTTTTGATTGTTGAAGTACTTCTGATGTACCTCCAGTACCACACAGGTTCGGTCACAAGTAAATCACAAGTCAGTTTACAAGTTGAGATGAACTACATGTATAATTGCAAAGGAATGCCTATGTGACCTTTCATTTGAATAGCTCGTGAGTTGGCGTTGGACTAGATGACTTTGAATGGACTTTTATAAGATGGGATTTTTGCGCCGGGGTGATATAAATCAAATTAGGTTTTGCCCTTCACCGACGTTTTTAAACACTGTATACTCAGTGTGTTACCTCCCGAGTGAAAGTTGGAAAAAAATCACTCGGGTGGGACTCGAACCCACGACCTCCTGCTTTCTAGTGCAGATGTCTTACCACTCAACCATTGAGCTAACGGGATCGGTTGGCCGGTTCGAATCTGATGTACATAGCAGCGGGTACCGCATAAACTATTATAAGATGGGATTTTTGCGCTGGGGTGATATAAATGACTTGTTATGGACTTGTGATGACTCACAAGATCATTGACCACACCACTGAAATGTGAGGCATTCTGGAAAAAACAGAACTGGACAGAGGTCGAAATGAGGTTTTACGGTTGTTAGAAAAAACTCCTTACAATACTGTTTGTTGCACTTCAATTGGACATTCCGTTCACAAGTTATGGCCATGCTAAGCAATTTTTTTTTGCTTAGCAGCGCCGCGAAATTGGCCCCTGTGCCCAGTTCCGTCTTATTTTGACATAAAGCCTCACATCTCTTTGCATTTTGATTTGATCTTCTCACTTTCCAGAGGAAGCGCCAAAAAAGCCAAAGTCCAAGCCCTTTGAGAGGCTGATGGAGGGGGTGACGTTCGTCTTGAGTGGTTTCCAGAATCCTCTCAGGGGTGACCTTAGGGAGAAGGCCATGGAGATGGGAGCCAAATACCGGCCAGACTGGGGGCCTGGATGCACGCATCTCATGTGAGTAGCCTTCTTGTAGTAAGTTTGTTCAAAGCCGATATCTGACTATGTAATTTTGCATTCTATGTTGGACGGTCATTTGACGTTGTCTCTGTTAATGGCTCATTAGGCTACATAAATTCTAATTCTACTATGGACAGTCATTTGACATTGTCTCTGTAGCTCATTAGGCAACTTCAATTCGTATTTTATTTTAGACAGTCATATGACGTTAATAATAATAATAAAGAACATTTGTAAAGCGCCGGCATCTGCCTAAAAGGCGCTCATGGCGCTTGAGGAGAAAGTCAAGTTAGGATTGTGTGTTGTGAGAGTAAGCTTGTTTCTACAGGTGAGATTTTATGTTTGTTTTAAATATTGTGATGGATGGAGATGATTTGATAGCCAGAGGGAGTTGGTTTCATACTCGAGCTGATGCTGCGGCAAAGGATCTGTCACCCCAAAGAGTGGAGGTCCTGGGCTCGTGAAGCATCATGAGCTCATCACTGGAGCGGAGTCCGGTGCGTGCTGTTGAGTACGGGTGGATGAGCTCGATGAGATACTCCGGCGCATTGTTGTGGAGGATTTTGAACACGAATAGGCCAAGTTTGTATTTGATTCTGTATGATGCTGGAAGCCAGTGGAGATCTGCTAATACAGGAGTGATATGAGAATGTTTACTAGTGAGAGAGATTAGTCTGGCACTGATGTTTTGTAGTTATCTCTGTTAATGGCTCATTAGGCTACGTAAAGTCCTATTCCATTTTGGACAATCATGTGACGTTGTCTCTGTTAATGGCTCATAAAGCTACGGACATTCCCATTCCATGTTTGATAGTCGTTTGACGTTGTATCTCTTAATGGCTCATAAGGCTATATATATTCATATTCTATTATGGACAGTTGTTTGACGTTGTCTCTGTGATTTCCACAGCTGTGCCTTTGCTAATACACCAAAGTTCAACCAGGTCAAAAACAAGGGCAAGATAGTCACCAAGGGCTGGATTCTAGATTCCTACAAGAAGAAGTCTCTACACCCATGGAGGAGGTAGGTGTCCCCATTAGACCCTGTAGTGCCCCAAAGCACCTTGCCCTATTGCACCTTAAACTGCCCAATGATTTTATGGATCCATCAAGGAGTAAATACAGCTGACATGAATATAACTGACTGACCAAGTGGGTGACAGACATTAGGTGGACCAGTAGATGTCCAGTAGAAAGCAGGAGGTCGTGGGTTCGAGTTCCACCCGAGTGATTTTTTCCAACTTTCACTCAGGAGGTAACACACTGAGTATACAGTGTTTATATAACGGTGAAGGGCAAAAGCTAATTTTGATTCACATCACCCCGACGCAAATTCAATCTTATGGATAGTTTAATTGCAGTACCCGCTGCTATGTACATCAGAATTGAACCAGCCAACCCATCCCGCAAGCTGGGTGGTCCCAAACTGCCCAATGATTTTATGGATCCATCAAGGAGTAAATACAGCTGACATAAATATAACTGACTGACCAAGTGGGTGACGGACATTAGGTGCACCAGTAGATGTCCAGTAGAAAGCAGGAGGTCGTGGGTTCGAGTCCCACCCGAGTGATTTTTTCCAACTTTCACTCGGGAGTTAACACACTGAGTATACAGTGTTTATACTTCGGGAAGGGCAAAACCTAATTTGATTTACATCACCCTGACGCAAATTCCATCTTATGAATAGTTTAATTGTGGTACCCGCTGCTATGTACATCAGAATCGAACCAGCCAACTGATCCCGCAAGCTCGGTGGTCGAGTGGTAAGACATCTGCACTAGAAAGCAGGAGGTCGTGGGTTCCAATCCCACCCGAGTGATTTTTTCCAACTTTCGCTCGGGAGGTTACACACTGAGTGTTCAGTGTTTATATGTCGGTGAAGGGCAAAACCTAATATTGATTTACATCACGCCGACGCAAATTCAATCCTATGACCAGTAGATGTACTTATGTACATGTAGATTAACAGAAGTGTTGTTGTTGCAAGTGAATAAAGTCAAGTCAATGACGAGTAATTCAGAAAGTCCGAGTAAGTTCAAGTAAGTCCGGAAACGAGTGACAGGGATGATGAACAGGAACCAAACAAAATATGCCTTTGTCGTTGTTCATTTTCTTCTGACTTAATTGGGACAGAGACACCCAATGTGAAATTGAAGACCTTCCTCACATAATGAGGGATAAAGACACCTGGCGTGGTGTTGTGAAGGAGATCTCTGTTGTGACCGCTAGATGATGATGATGATGATGATGATAATGACTTGTGATTGACTTGTGAGAACTTGTGACGACTTAGAGGTGTGATAAAACACAATAAAACCAGAATAGAAATGAGGGCCGCAACCCCATATTTTACATTGTTTACCCTTGAAATTGATTAATTGGATCCAGCACTGATAAACTTCAAATATGGTTACGGGATCTCTGGTTTTACATTTTTTGTTCTTCATATTGATGTGTCAAAAGGTATAGTATGGTGACAGAGAGTGACGACGACGGCTCTAGCTACGAGGAGGAGAGCGAAACGGATGAAGAGGATGACTGGGAACCACCCAGGAGGAAGAAACCATCGCCTCAGAAAGCCACGCCCAGCAAAGCCATGCCGAAGAATGCCACACCCAAAAAGGCCACACCCAAGAAAGCCACTCCCAAAGATGCAGGGGATGGGAATAACAGTGACCAGGGAACGTCAGAGGCTGCTCAAAGGGTAAGGATATTACATAAATACTAACTGCCACACCACAGTTGTTCAGCACCCTTCATTAGATTTTGAGCATGTTTGTTGCTTCAAATGAACAAAATGCACAAAGTACAAATGATGGACTGTACCTTTAACTCTCACGTGACTTCTCGCACTTACTCGAGCTTGGCCTAAGTAACCGACCCGCTGAGCCGCTTGCTTAGGTAAGTATCCCACAATACAATGCAAAAATATGGCGGATAAATCTAACGCTGTGGCGGCGTGGCATTCAAAAGTGTCACAGCTTCACTTCACACTAGTAGTACTAGACGAAGGGAGGAATGTTTATTTCAAACATACCTTGCCATTCTTGTACACTTGGGAAAATCATGCACAGTGGCCACCATTGGCTTGCTTTCGACGGCTCGAATCCATACGCAAAGGGGATTTAATCGCCACATGACCTCTTGACCTGGCCCGGTGCATCTATACCCAAGAGAAAAGTACGGGTAGCATGAGGGAATTAAACCCTAACTCCCTAGGCCTTTTTGCTAGAATGTAGCCTCAATCCTGCCAAACCTCCAATTGGCCTCATGGAAAAATAGCATATATAGCCTCAATCCTGCAAATTCCTCCATTATTTCTTGAATATGCTCCATGGAGGGGTGACCACTGCCTGAATCCTGCAAAGTCCAGCTGCAGTGACTGTCAATATGTTGAGGCTTGGCCAGTGACATCCTGGAGCAGTACGGAGGTTTTCAAGCATAACCACGGCCTATATTTATGCATGGCTGAGCAAAAACAACACATGGTCCGGCCCAAGACCTTGACAAAGTGCATCCTACGAAATCAGTAACGCACTCTTACCATGTAACCTCAATCTTCTAAATTCCTCCACTTTGACAAATAGGATTTTGAAGGATTCAGGGCGCTTGTGGTTAATAGAATGCGCTGATGATGCCCACTGCTGCATAATGAATTGTTTTGCTCTTTCCTCTTGACAGACAAAACCCTCCAAGCCTGATGTCGAGGGAGACGACGATTGCAGCACGACAGACATTGACAGCGACACTGAGAATGTTGTGAGGAGGGCTGCTGCATCCAAGCAGCATGACGACGTATCGTCTGGAGGCGACACAGAGGATGAACTCAGGAGGTCGGTTGATGAATCTGGAATGAAGTCATGTCCTTTAAGGAGTGTGTGATACATTTCTACCCACCTTAGGATTGATGCTTGTTTTTATCTAAGAGCCAATCCAAGGATGGCTGAGTTGTTTGCTTGAAATATTTTCTTTTGTAGTTTATAATACAGGGCGAGTGAAAAAAAGGAAACCCAGTCGTCAGGACTATTTTTGTAATGAAGTTCTGCAAGCACTTTCAAAATCTAGGATATGAACGCCCACTTAATAAGTTTTCTTTTCGTACAAGAATCATTCAAATCAGTCATGTACTTTTCAAGTTACGGAATTTTGAACACCGTTTTAAAGTTCTGTCCAAGGATCCAAAAAAGGTAAGTGCTCTTTCAGCAAAATGAAAACAATTCACATACATCCTAATCCATGCTACACATGTAGTATGTGCTTTCCGGCAGTTTGGGGTGTTTTGGTGGTCAGATAACTTCAACAGCTCTCTCTTAAGCTTGTTGACTTGCCTTGTTGACAGGATGATTGATTATCCATGCTGTGCGGTGAGTGAGACTCACCAGGAGTTTAATACACAATCATATGGCTCTTGTCAGAGGGGCTGGTGTTTGGCTAGGATTTACAGGGTCCATAGTTCAACCAAGGCTAAAGCGGCACTCACCACATTATTTGGCTATGTTTGAATGAGGAACTTGTAAAATTTTTAGACCAAATAAGTGTCACAGTAATTACAAAATTAAGCAAAACAGACTCTATTCTAAGTTACAATCTAGGGCTTAGTAGATTTGAATAATTGAAAATTCAAATATTCAACCTTCCATTCAACAAAGTATGTACGAAATCAGTTTCATTATTAACACACACAATTGCACATTATAATGACTTCAGTAGCTTCTCACTTTTATGACTGACGCCAGCAATGATTTAGCTAAAGCTTAAGCACACACGCAAAGGAAAAAGATACATTTAAGAATTTGTTTTAGTTCTCGAATAAAAGTTTGATCAGTTGCAATGATTACGATTTTGTAACATATATTCTGCCACAATACATTTTCCTTTTTGGACAGGAATCAATCACTCTAGACCTGCATACACAAAGCTAAATCACTTTGATTATAGTTAAAAATGTTTAGCCAATGACCTCCTACAATCTCTCAGCAGAGGGTTTTAAGTAATTATCTGAATGATTGATGTTGATCAACTTTTCTAGGATACGAGAAAAAGGAGCCACTGACGCCAAGGCAGCCGCCAAAGACAACTACGACAGCTCGACGGACGAAGAGACATATATCCCAACGTCGAGCAAGCCAGAGGGCGCTACACCTTCCTTAAACGACATCCCTGACTTGCCAGATTTCTTTGCCGACAAGATTTTCTTTCTGTACGGCAAATTTGATGCGGAGGAAAGGAGGCAGATCAGCAGACTGATCGTCACTTTTGAAGGGTAAGATGGATTGGATTTTTTTATTTCAACATTGGAAAATTTGAGTTGTTTAACAATAACCACCTCAACTCCATCAAAATCCACCCCCATTTTGGTGGATTTTTTTTTTGGGGGGGGGGGGCTTGATCCAGAAGGCCTGCAGCTGATTTCACGAAAAGTGCGTAAGTTGCGCCATGCGTAAGACTTATGCAACAAATTTGTTGCGCAGCTGCGCAATAAACTTATGACCGATTTCACGAAACTTGGCGTTGCTGCGCAATGTTTCAAATAATTTAAACATCTTGGACGAGGATAAAAACAGCATTTACGACGGCTGTTTGTGTGTGAATTTGTTCTTTTGCGAAACAGTCGTGGGATCACCTCAGCCCGCCATTTTGAAAATTCTTCGGAATCGTTCGGCAACTCTAAAAATTATGTTACAAGTAAAATAGAAATTCATTTACTCCAAACAAAAAGTTGTGAGTGTCTTGTATCAACCTTGATAAGTTGTGCAATAATGGGCTCTACGACAGTGCCGTTTTGCTGGTAAAACATGTCATTTTCAGTCGCTAGGCCACAACTTACGCCACCTTAAATGATTGCACAAGATACACCATAATTTATTGCGTAAGTCTCGGACTTTCGCACCATCTGACTTTTGTGAAATGTATCATAAGCATAAGTGAAATGTTGCGCAGCGTGGAATGTTGCGCAACTTAGGCAATAAATAGTGCCGCAAGCAGAGTTGCGTCATTGCGTAAGGTTTCGTGAAATCGGCTTCTGGCATGACTTAACCCCAACTCCCTAGGCCTTTTTGCTAGGATGTAGCCTCAATCCTGCAAAATCCTCCAATTGGCCTCATGAAAATAAAGCATATAGCCTCAATCCTGCTAATTCCTCCATTATTTCTTGAATATGGTCCGTGGAGAGGTGACCACTGCCTGAATCCTGCAAAATCCTCCAGCTATGTCTGTCAATAGGCTGAGGCGGAGGCAGTGACATCCTGGAGCAGTGCGGAGGTTTTCAAGTATAATCAAGGACTTAATTTATGCTAGGCTGAGCATAAACAACACAAGGTCCGGCCCAAGACCTTGACACAGTGCGTTCTCCGAAATCAGCAACGGACTTTTGCCATGTAATCTCAATCCTGCACATATTCCTCCACTTTGCAAAAAGGATTTTGGAGGATTTAGGATGGTTAGGGTTAATATTGATGGAGTATGATGGACTTGGGCCTAATGGCCTGAAGTGGTAGTGGTATCTGATTGAATTTGCCTAGCTTCCTGTACTGCTATTGTGACAGAGATGCCACCTGTCCGGTTTAAGCCAGAATTGTTTTTTTTTTATCTCACAAAATTCTGGGTTTTACCGACCATCAAAATAAACCAGAAAAAGAGAAGAAAAACCTGTGGAAATGCATTGATTTTTACCTCGCTAGCGCTCTTGAGTTTAGTACATGGAGGCCTACATAAGGATTGCGCACACGCGGCACAACGTTGTTCGCTGAAGGAGTCTTTAAAACAAGTCTTTGTTGTTGCCGAGCCTGCATGCGATACAGGTGGCTAACGTACTTGCGTTACATGAACGTACTTTTACATTTTGCTCCGAATATTGACTTCACACTGGGAGGGTTAGAGTATCACATCGTTACTTCCTCATTAGAAATCCAAAATGTTGGTATCTTTCCAGGACTGTGGAGGACTACATGACCGATGAGGTATCTTACGTGATAACCAACTCAGAGTGGGATGCAGACTTTGACAAGGTAGGGGAGCTGTTATGGGACACTGAAAGGCTCCTTTTTTGGGCAGTTGAGGGCATTTTGACAATGCCCTTGTGGTATGAACAAAAACAAGTGCGAGTGCGCAATCTTAAAGAGGTTGTGGAATGCTCGAAGACTTTTGAGAGCTATTTTTCAGGTCGTGTTTCGACCCGAACGCGCAATTTGTGTAAAAGTCGTCGTTGCGGGCAGCAAACAAAACACAGTAAATCATGACGTAATAAACAGGACTCGTTTATGCTACTCTGCATCGGGAGTCCTGTTTATTACGTCACGATTTATTGTGTTTTGTTTGCTGCCCGCAACGACGACTTTTACACAAATTGCACGTTCGGGTCGAAACAGGCATGACAGGACTTGAAAAACAGCTCTCAAAAGTACCTTTTGTACTCATTTTATGACAGACACAATAGTCGTTTTTGTTTCATCACACCTTGGGCTACATATACCTGAAAAATGACGGAAATGTCTTCAAGCATTCCACAACCTCTTTAAGCTCTGGCCTCCTTGCTTGACATAAACAAGATGTTTCTATTGCTTACAAAATACAATGTAGGGCCCATTGATAATCTTTCACATAGATGGAAAAACAGAAATTTTTGTAACCTGGTAAAGATCGATAATTATGTATGCGGCTTTAATTTTTGACAATATTTTTGGTGAAATTATTAAATTGCTGATGATTGCTGAATAATGTTTGAAATATTCCCAAGTTCCATTGACTATTACAGGAGTTAGAACTGAAAGAGTAGTTCAATATTTGCATCATGTGCATGTACTATAGTAGACATCAACTGAAGGTTGATGAACAAATTACATGGAACAATTTTGCTGCCAAATTTATGTATGTGAATTGTGTTTTTTTACACACTATGGTTATATCAGTGGTGGTTCTATTGGGGGGGGGGGGCTAGGGGGGGATTTTGTCTGGCTCCCCCCAAAAAAATTCCATTAAAAAAAAAAAAATGCCTTAGCAAAATGTAAGAATTTGACGTACATTGCAACAGTCTTCCCATGAATCAGAAGGGTGCATTTGTACACTTTGAGTTAATATAGTGTGCCTGATTGTAGGATTTTATCATCGCATGGCACGAGGCACAAGCCTCCCCCGACCTATTGATTTTCAGAGGCCTAAGTGTCCGGAGAAAATAACCGGTCTATATTTTAGCACGCCTCCCTGAAAAAATTCTTGATCCACATTGCTAGCCCCCCAAAAGTATTGGCTCTAGAACCACGCCTGGGTTATATGGGTTAATGTATGATTAAATTTTGATTATTTTATTCTCATCCCAACAGGCTTTGTCAGATCACCCTGGGTTGTCGTTTGTCCGTCCCAAATGGATCTACGTCTGCTCTGAGAAATCCAAGATGGTGCCTTACCAACCCTACATCGTGGTGCCAAGTTGAAAAAAGGAAGATTTGATAACAAAAAGTTTAATAGTCAGTTTTGTACTGAAATAGTTTTAACAAGGTCAGCGCGCCCTCAATTGACATATTTTTGGGAAGGGGGTTCATTATACAGTCGGGTTTCGAAAAACAGATACAATAATGAGTATTTTCATAGAGATAATGTTGTACTATTAAACTATTCAAAGTCTCAAAGAAACAAATCTGCCAAATAAACCAATAAATCATTTTTTCCTGTGCCAACAGTGACTTTAGAGGATAATGAAATCGGAGCATATACATGTACATCATATAGGACCTGCATACAATAACCAAGCCTCTTCATTAGACCATTGCATTTTGTGCTTATGCACACTCCTTAGGCCTTTTACAAAAAACGTGACACACAGACATCAGACACAAAGACAACAGACAGACAGCTTAGGATCTTTTGATATAGGATAGGATGCCAACTTGCAAGTCGCAGTTTAGAAGGGCCCAAGTAATATGGGGGCAGTTGATGAGTGCAGTTGTAAGAATAATTTCACGAGATGACGGATGGAATTGTTCCATTCCACGAGGTGAAGCCGAGTGGAATGGAACATACCATCTGTCAACGAATTAAAATATTCTTTCCATTGCATGAATGTGAAACATTCCGGTTTTTTTTATTCAAACAGCAGCTGAATAAATCCTTGTACTTGATCTGTCTGGTAACTTGTAAACTGGTACTCTGTACATCATCAGAACTGTGTTATAGCACAACCGATATGTGACTAAATAATGAAAGGTTTGCAGAAACACAGGAGAGTGCCTAAACTCTAGGAAAGTAAACACTCGATGAAGTGTGAAGTTGCATCCTGTGTGGATGCCAAGTACGTAGCTGGGATCCTAGAGCAAGCTTGGTGCCTGTGCGAGCTATAGGTACCTGTGCATGGAAGTTCAATATACCGTAGAATGGAACTTCTATTTTTGCCGTGTCGCTGCGCCGTTTATCTGGACAAATAATTGAATGAGCCACCAATCAGATGACTGTGATTGATTCAGGCGTTGTATAATACAGTAGATTATTTTTTAAAGTGCATCATGAAGTACATAAGAATGAGAATACCAAAACTGTAGGATGTCATGAAGTGATTGGAATGAAATTCACCAGAGTCAAATTGTGCTCCACTATTACAAGTTCACAGCCAAAAAACATGTATTCCTCAAGCCAGAAATTCACAAAATTGTTGAATAAACTGTTTTTAAACGGTACATGCAAACTCTGTTGTTCAGTTTGAAACTTTACATTTTACGTGGTGAATTGGGAAAGAATGTAGTATCCAGACGCCACGTCTTTGGTTGTGAACAAAGTCTATTGGAGAGTTGAGTGCATTTTCCAAATTGGAACGTTTTCAGTCCCAGATGCATGTCTTTTCAACATATTTTGCAACGATTGACCTTCATTGAGATAATACATGATGAAAAATGTGGCGTCAGGATGCAACATTTTTGTCCTTGATTTGGATGGAATTTGACCACAAAACCATGTTTTCAAAGTTCAAACCACGAATACAGTATTTCAGCAACTACACTGTATTGTAGCGTAGACAGACCACAAGAAAACAAAACAGTCGCAATGTCGAATCAATTTTTGCTGCAGTAACAATATTAAGTTTCATTTAGTAAATTACAGAAGCCTTAGTAGATCACGTCATCGGGGAGGGAACCAAAACCCAAGTTAACTAGCTCCAGCACAGCCGCCCCAACTCTAGCGGGATGCGGATTCTACCGTTTAGCTGGAGCAACGGATACAGATACAGATACAGAATTAACAAAATAAATAATTACGTTTCCTACAACTTAGCAAAGTTGAGACTGTTTGCTATTGTTTGGTTCCAATTACATGCTCATGAACAGGAGCATGCTAGCTAGACTGGTTCCCTTACCTTACAATTTTCTGGCATATCTATAAATTGATCCATTTCATCTTTAGTGGAGTCAGGGAACCAGACTACTTGAATGTTTTTCCCCCAGCATTTTTGAACACAAAACTTCAAACAGTGTAACATTATACTAAACCCTCAACTAGGTCATTTCTGAAAATTACAGCCAAAGCCAATGATGTACATTCCCTTTCAATAAAAATGAATAGAGGCAATAACTTACATTTGTACTTCAGTTTGACGTACATGTGCACTCTCCAAACCCAAGGATGCCAAGAGCCACGCCCTCCATAATATAGATGTGCTTTCCACGCACTCAGCTGCTGGACTCAGCCTGACATTCCTGGCACCTACAGTTTTGACTGGGCTGACAACCAGAGCTAGAACTTAGACAATGGGGATTATGCAATTCCAACATGACTAACATATACTACAGATTAAAGTATGGGTATCTGGGTAAAGGCTATGGGTATCTGGCCATCTGGGTTAAGGCTATGGGTATCTGGGTTAAGGCTATAATTCACAATCAAAGGGTATTGTACAAGGATGGTGACTGGCTGGATGAGTCCACATTTTCCTCAGAGGGGGGATCGGAAGCCATGCGCACATATTTGACTTGTTAAGGCTATGGGTATCTGGGTTAAGGCTATGGGTATCTGGGTATAAGGCTATGGGTATCTGGGTTAAGGCTAATTCACAATCAAAGGATATTGTAAAAGGGTGGTGACTGGCTGGACTAGTCCACATTTTCCTCGGAGGGGGGAAGCCATGGCTAGACTTGTTAAGGCTATATGGGTATCTGGGTATAAGGCTATGGGTATCTGGGTTAAGGCTAATTCACAATCAAAGGATATTGTAATAGGGTGGTGACTGGCTGGACTAGCACATTTTTCTCAGAGGGGGAAAGCCTTGGCTAGACTTGTTAAGGCTATGGGTATCTGGGTTAAGGCTAATTCACAATAGAAAGGATGTTGTAAAAGGGTCTTGATTGGCCGGACTAGTCCACATCATCCTCAGAGGGGGAAAGCCATGGCTAGACTATACCATTTATGTACGGGGCCCCGGTTTTCACTACGTTGTTTAGCAAATGGGGAGAAAGGAAGCCACACCTTTTTCTGACATTCAGGTTTTCTAGAATTCAACAGTTTCATTTTTTAATATAAAGTAGTTCATTACATGGTCTACAAAAATAAAATCAGTGAAATTAATCTCGCCAAAGTTTTATTTCACAATTGCCATAAATAGAACCATTTAATGTCACATACAAGTACTTAACAATCATTTGACATAATTAAATAAACATGAATGAACAATAATTTACTTTCAAATATGGAAATGGCTATTGATTTGTAAATTTCAATAAAACTTTTCAGTTTTTTTTAATCCAAGCTTAATAAAAGTACATGTGTGTACAGGTAAGCAAAATCACATTTTTTCTGTACATGTACTCGTGTAGGTGGCCCCTGAACATGGATTTTACCTATAACCCAGTGTAGCAGAATAATTAACCATGCCCGTGCACATGTAAAATGGTCATTCACAAATTTAGGGGCCAATTCCTTTCAGGACCCTGTTACATCTCGTCACCGACACCATGAAATAACACCCAAGTCCAATTCAGTGTGTACTTCATGAAAACCATAAAATGGCAAATGGTTTCACGAAGTGTGTGCGTGTACATCGGACACTAGCGGGAACGATTTTTGTTTTCACACTGTTACGGAAATACTATATAGTGGATTTAAGCGTTTTAAAACGTTTGACAGAAATTTAATTAATACCTAGTCTTGTAGGATTACAGAAAATTTTAATACAAGGCTGTCAAACTGGTGAAATAAAGATGAGTGTTACTTCGTGAAAACGAAAAATGACCGATTCAGCGCACAGTGTACATGAGTGTTACTTCGTGAAAACGAAAATCAGTCGGTTCTGTAAAATATGCGCGCGTAGCGAGCACTCAAGTCCACTTGGGCATTACTTTATGGTGTCACTTTGTGGTGTCACTGACGATCTGATATAAGATTTTAGTAAATTCAGGATACATTCTATAATGTCTTCAATCTCCAAGATTGATTATGTAACAGTAGTACATGTACATGCAGCTGCCAACCAAATCAAAAATAGTTTGAAGTCAAGTTTGATGATACCGTGCCTGCATGGCAAATTACACAGGTCAGGCGTAACAGGGACACAAAAAAGTCACACTTTTGGACCCAATTTGTATGGAATGACCCATATATGAACATTTGACAATTTATTTGTTGTACATTCATTACAATCTACGTGGTCGTGTTTAAAAATAAATCAGGATTGGTCGATGATTGAACTAACATATATCATAAGTAAAATTTCATTTTTTGTACACTCTGTTTTTGAATTGTACAGAAAGGTAATAAAGAAATCAAATTTACAATCAATACTGTGTCGTGATTTTTAACATATAACTATGATTAACACATTAACACTTGTACTAGATTGTCTTACATTGTGTTTATTGAATGAAAAATCAATAAAACCATATAGAGTGCTCGGGCAGTTTCGGGCGTTACAGCGAGTAAGTAATAGGCAGGACTTATTGCGTTGTGGTTGGTCATTTTTTCCAACAAGACAAGCTTCCAGGATCCTCCAATTCTAAATAAAAAAGCCAGATATGAAATGGTGGCTATCTTTTTTTCAAAAATTATCTTTGCTGTAAAGTACAAGTTAGTTAAGAAATGGCTTCACGAAGAGCGAGCTACACGGCTGAGTTCAAGCTTATAGCGGTTAAGTACGCCGAACAACACGGCAATCGGGCAGCTGGGCGGGAGCACGGCGTAGATGAATCCATGGTGCGAAAGTGGAGAAGGAGCAGAACGGCATTGGAAAAAACACCGCGGAACAAGAGGGCCAACCGGATCGGCATAACCAAGTTCCCTGACCTGGAGACACAGTTGGCACAGTTTGTCAAAGATCGGAGAAACGGTGGGAGGGCCGTAACCACTGTAATGATTAGACGGCAGGCCAGGCACTTTGCCAAGGAGCGGGGTTTGGTGGACTTTGTCGGTGGCCCGAGTTGGTGCCATCGCTTCATGAAACGGGCTGGTCTTTCCGCACTACCGTGGGGCAGAAAACTCCAGATGACTGGGAGGAGAAAATGACCAGCTTCAACCTCTTCACCGACCGCCATATCAAGCGACTTAATCTCAGCGATGACAAGATCATCAACATAGACGAGGTGCCGATGACTTTCGACGCCCCGATGACACGGACAGCAACCACCAAAGGTGACAAGACGGTCACCATCACAACAACTGGCCACGAAAAGACCAGTTTCACGGCGGTACTGGCCTGCACTGCCAGCGGGAAGAAGTTGAAGCCGATGCTCATCTTCAAACGGGTGACCCTCCCAAAGGAGAAGCTGCCATCCGGTGTTGTCATCATGTGCAACAAGAAAGGTAAGTTTTTATTAATCCGAATTTATCATAATTCACAAGTGTAAATGAAACTCATTTTTGGATGACGAAGTGCTTTATCTCCCGATCCCCAAAACAATCAGTTTTTATTAATGACAAGTTTATCGTCCGTTGTATTATATTGTTTTATTGCCAAAACATTGGCGCTTGAAATTTTGTTCTCCCCAAAACAATCTTTTTTTTTATTTCTTTCCTTCTCTTTATTTAACGTCATTTTTGGATTTTTTTCTTTATGCAGGGTGGATGAACACCGATGTCATGCAGCATTGGGTCGAGCGCTGCTTCAAGTCAAGACCAGCAGCGTTGACACCATCCTGGCAGTCATTCCCGGCGGAATGACGAAGAAGCTGCAGCCACTGAACATCAGCGTCAACAAGGTGTTCAAGAGCCACATCCGGGAAGAGTGGGAGGAGTGGATGTCCCAAGGAATCCACTCCTACACTGAGACGGGGAGGAAGACATCGCGGAGGAAGAGACAGCCGATCGTCGGGCAACAGACCTCGACGACGAGTTGCTGGCTATGTTTCATAGCGACAGCGAGGATGATGACTTTGACGGCTTTCCAGACGTCTAGACAAACAAGAAAAACCAACCGGCTCTTTTCATAGCCACCACATCATCAATGAAGAGATTGATATCGTGCTGTCTGAATAAAGTAACAAATAAAAAGTTCAACGGGTCAAAAAAGGTTTCCCAAATCATAAGAAAAGTCCCAACAAATCCAGAAACATAAGTCTTATCATAATATCCTAAGTCTATAGTACACCAAGTAAGCAATTTTCTTCATATATTTCAACCAATTAAAGATTTTATATTATTGATTTTAAGACAAGTTTGCTAATGTTTGTTCGAAGTTGGGTGAAGAGTGGCGTGCATAAAATTGGGACAACAAAATTCAACAGATAATAAGCTCATAATGTACATTTCCTCATAGATGGTCGAACTCTCCCCTGGCAGCCAGGTTTATGTCTACAGCATGAACGTTACTGCTGCCAAGAAGAAGAAGAGCCCTTCCAAAATGGCCTGCTCACTTCTCAATGCTTTTTTTACGAATGGTGAGCTGGCCGAGAAGGGTAGCTTGGTCGAAGTTGATAAGAAAGTCGTTGATGCCATTGTTGGTAAGTAACAGTTGTTTTGTTCTTCATGTGGTACATGTACGTACATATACTCATCTCTAAAGTTCAAATCTCTAAAGTTCTTTGGCGGGCATATAGCAGGCACGCAACTTTTCCTCAGATCCGCTGATTTCCTTGTTTTGCATTTCTCGTGAATGCCATTACAAATTGAAAAACACTGTACAAAGTCTTGTGTGGTTCGGAATTTCCCCGTTTTTCCCTAAATTCCCAGTTGCACGCCCGATATAGGTTTACTTTGTAAACTGCAACTGAGGCTTCATGCTTGTTTCGCACATGAAAATGCATTTACATTAACTTGAAATCTGTTTTGGTTTTCCATGTACCCAAATATTCTGATTTTTATCTTTAATGCAGTTTCCCACAAAGTCCATTCAAAACCAATATTTGTTACTACTTGAGAAATTATTCACTATTTTGTTAAGTTATACAGGAATACATAGCAATCCCACATAATCCTGAACTGCGGTGCTATGCGGTATGGGCACTCGTGTAAACCCATTATGCACACCCCTCCAAACATTCAACAAACAGGCTGTTAGTGACTCTTTTCCAAACACATAGATAATACATTGCAGTTAAGTAAGATTTGAGGCTTTGCATGGTGGAGATACTAAATAATGACAGGTTTGCGGAAACACCATGTGCGAATAATTTCTCATCTAAGAGAATGGTTCTGAAAAGAACCAGAGGTATAAACTGGACGTTCCGGTCAGTATGCTCTGACCGTCTTCAGGAGGGTGCCTAAACTCTAAGAAAGTGAATACTTTCTTAGTGTTTTCACTTATTGCAGATTTCACCCTGAAAACCTCACCAGAGTCGCCATCATCACCTGCTTCAATAAGACAGGTATTGAGGTCTAAGGTATGTGGCTTGAAGTTCAGGGTTCAGAAGATTTAGATTTGTTATGAGTACACTTCTGGTGATGTTTACAACAAATGTGAAGTGTTCTGGCAAGATGAGACGAAACTGGGCACATAACAGGCCGTATTGGAGAAAAATGCCAAAAATTAAGGGGGTGATTTAATTTTGGTTCAATTTCAGATTAACCGATATTTGCAAGCATGCAACTTTTCCTCGGATCAGCTGATTTCCTCTTTTTTTACTTCCCATGTGTGCCATTGAAAATAGAAAAACACTGTACACAGACTGGGAAAAATTTGAATTTCCGCTTTTTTTGTGATTTCCCAGTTGCATGCCTGTATTTGTAATCTTTGATATTTTTAAAGATAAGTACAAAAATCTTGGATTTAGTGTATTTTAGGGAGAATACAAATGGCATCTTTCATTTCTACAAATACAAAACTCAAACATTCTAGGCCTTTTTCTCAGCATTTTACTGTTTTGACATGTCGAAAAAAGCGAACTTTAAACAGACAAAACTTGTCAATGGAATGTCCTATTGGGGTGCAACAAAAGGTATTGTAAGGAAGATTGTATTGTCGGTAATCGTTATCTTTAGGGCACCTCTATTTTTAAGAGTTCTGTTCAAAACTGACTTTTGCAGATGACTGTCCAGTACCAAAGTGACTTTTGCAGGCTAAAGCAGTCTTTTTTCCTGCAGATAAACTCATGTTATTAGTTGTCATTTTGAAAGCACTTTCAAAGAAAATATGATTTTCCTACCGTTTTTGCAGTTCGCCATCTTGCTTTTTAAATATATTTTCTGTTTGTCATCGTCGTCTTTAACCCCTCATAAATCAAAGCCCTGCCCTCTTTCTACAAAATTTAACCTGCTGATTTTCAAGGTGTCATTGCCAACTTTTCAAATGTGTCAAGAAACATCAGAATGTCACTTTTGAGTGTCATTTAGTCAGCTGTTTTGGTGACTCTTTTAACCTTATATAGGGACAGGGTCCTAAAAGTAAGGATTACCGTATACCTAATGCCTGCAAACCCATGCACATTTCGACATCTGCCCAGTTCTGTCTCATTTTGCCAGAACGCCTCACAAACATGAAAGCCAAACCCGTTATTGCCCGGCCTGGTTGAATCATTGTAATCTCAATCAAACTTTCAGTAGCAATTTGTGTATTATAGTTTACAGATTAAATATATTCTCCTTTCATTTATAGCTTGAGTTTCTCTCAGCACCTGTTCAAAAAATATATTTCCTTGAAGAAAAATATAGGAATTTTGCTGTATGGGATTATTTCCGCAGCTTGTCATCAAATGTGTACATCATATTCCCACATACTTTGCACCTCAATATACTTTGTTTTATGAATGCAGTCTCACCAGGATTTTTTTTATGTAAACTGATGGTCAATCAAGTTATGTTTTGGTCTGGGATTTTTTTAGGCATGCATGGTTCAATTGTCAATAGAACAATTACGGATACCTTTAAAAACGTTGCATATACTTGCCTGCAAAATATATACATGTACATTGTCAATTGAGAGATAAAAATAAAATGCTCATATTTTTTTAGTTTCAAAAAAAAAAAAATCCACAGTTTCTTGGAGATTTTATGCAATATTTTATTGATATTATATAACCACAAACTTGCCTACTGCACATTGTTTATACTCTCTGATGGCCAATGTGTCTGTGACAATTACACTTAATTGTTATCCTTCGCCAAAATGGCCTTCCTCAAGAAGCACCCAGACACTATCACGGACTGGCAGACAGTCAACGAAGAAGTCTACCGCGCACGCTTCGACGCTCCCTGCAGTGTTAAGATCACACATAACATCCAAGCAGCCGTAGTCGCACATGAAGATCTGCCTGAAGACTACTTCAGAGTTGGCTGAACTGTTCTAGAACTGCCACTAACAAGAACGGGTCCTACTAAAATACGTAACCGACATCAACAAGCCTCAACGGTCGTCAACAAGTTTAAACAAAATTTGTACATTCTTTTGCTTAACTAAGACAATTGTCGGCATATCCAATACAGTAAACTATATTTAAAAACTTGCTTTATTTAACGCGAAATAGAAAACAAATTTATCAATTAGTTTTGGCTGCCATGTTGTTTACGAATAGCTAAGCCCTACTACGCATGCGAAAAATGTACAGACCCATACTACGCATGCGCGATTTGTACAACGACATCCAAACAAAATAGCTGCCAACACAACTCGACTAATATGTCGTAAATTACGCGTTAAAAAAACCCCAATTTTTACAATAATTTCAACTTTAATTGATTTGCGAAACATGTTCTTTATTGTCTTTAACACGTACAACTACTTTTCATGTTTAAAAGAAAAAACAACATTTATTTTCCTAATTAACGACCGTTGTTGCGCTTGTTCGAGCTTGTTGACGCACTTCAGTGAAACCCACAAAAACCTATTCGTCTTGCCACCGCACATATTTTCCTCGCTTCGATAGCCCAACAAACAGGTATAATACTAATGAAACGTCGCTCTCACCATGCCAAAAACGTATGCATAATCTCATTACTTAGTGTAAATACAATAACATAGATATCTACTTTTCTTCACGTTTGTTCTTCACTTTGTGACTACTATACTCGCATACATATTCATTTGACATTCGGTTTTTATGTGCGCTATACTTTGTTATATTTTTATGTTTACCTCACTCAATACATGTATATATTTCCCTTAATCAGTGCCTTTGTTTCCCTCAAAGCTTAGCTAAATACCTCTTTAACCTTTAGATAGTTAGTTCATACTTTTATATTTTCCCTTAATACTATTGCTTATTCTAAATACCGTCCTTTGTTATTTATATTACAAACAATTAATGCGCCATAGAATCATTCCTGATACTTGACTTCAGTTCCTCAATAACTAGGTGCAATAACAGCAGATACATCTTAACCTGTTTTGCTAATGCTTTCATTGTGGCAGTGATTTTGTTTTAACTATTTTTAAGAGTTCTGTTCAAAACTGACTTTTGCAGATGACTGTCCAGTACCAAAGTGACTTTTGCAGGCTAAAGCAGTCTTTTTTCCTGCAGATAAACTCATGTTATTAGTTGTCATTTTGAAAGCACTTTCAAAGAAAATATGATTTTCCTACCGTTTTTGCAGTTCGCCATCTTGCTTTTTAAATATATTTTCTGTTTGTCATCGTCGTCTTTAACCCCTCATAAATCAAAGCCCTGCCCTCTTTCTACAAAATTTAACCTGCTGATTTTCAAGGTGTCATTGCCAACTTTTCAAATGTGTCAAGAAACATCAGAATGTCACTTTTGAGTGTCATTTAGTCAGCTGTTTTGGTGACTCTTTTAACCTTATATAGGGACAGGGTCCTAAAAGTAAGGATTACCGTATACCTAATACCTGCAAACCCATGCACATTTCGACATCTGCCCAGTTCTGTCTCATTTTGCCAGAACGCCTCACAAACATGAAAGCCAAACCCGTTATTGCCCGGCCTGGTTGAATCATTGTAATCTCAATCAAACTTTCAGTAGCAATTTGTGTATTATAGTTTACAGATTAAATATATTCTCCTTTCATTTATAGCTTGAGTTTCTCTCAGCACCTGTTCAAAAAATATATTTCCTTGAAGAAAAATATAGGAATTTTGCTGTATGGGATTATTTCCGCAGCTTGTCATCAAATGTGTACATCATATTCCCACATACTTTGCACCTCAATATACTTTGTTTTATGAATGCAGTCTCACCAGGATTTTTTTTATGTAAACTGATGGTCAATCAAGTTATGTTTTGGTCTGGGATTTTTTTAGGCATGCATGGTTCAATTGTCAATAGAACAATTACGGATACCTTTAAAAACGTTGCATATACTTGCCTGCAAAATATATACATGTACATTGTCAATTGAGAGATAAAAATAAAATGCTCATATTTTTTTAGTTTCAAAAAAAAAAAAATCCACAGTTTCTTGGAGATTTTATGCAATATTTTATTGATATTATATAACCACAAACTTGCCTACTGCACATTGTTTATACTCTCTGATGGCCAATGTGTCTGTGACAATTACACTTAATTGTTATCCTTCGCCAAAATGGCCTTCCTCAAGAAGCACCCAGACACTATCACGGACTGGCAGACAGTCAACGAAGAAGTCTACCGCGCACGCTTCGACGCTCCCTGCAGTGTTAAGATCACACATAACATCCAAGCAGCCGTAGTCGCACATGAAGATCTGCCTGAAGACTACTTCAGAGTTGGCTGAACTGTTCTAGAACTGCCACTAACAAGAACGGGTCCTACTAAAATACGTAACCGACATCAACAAGCCTCAACGGTCGTCAACAAGTTTAAACAAAATTTGTACATTCTTTTGCTTAACTAAGACAATTGTCGGCATATCCAATACAGTAAACTATATTTAAAAACTTGCTTTATTTAACGCGAAATAGAAAACAAATTTATCAATTAGTTTTGGCTGCCATGTTGTTTACGAATAGCTAAGCCCTACTACGCATGCGAAAAATGTACAGACCCATACTACGCATGCGCGATTTGTACAACGACATCCAAACAAAATAGCTGCCAACACAACTCGACTAATATGTCGTAAATTACGCGTTAAAAAAACCCCAATTTTTACAATAATTTCAACTTTAATTGATTTGCGAAACATGTTCTTTATTGTCTTTAACACGTACAACTACTTTTCATGTTTAAAAGAAAAAACAACATTTATTTTCCTAATTAACGACCGTTGTTGCGCTTGTTCGAGCTTGTTGACGCACTTCAGTGAAACCCACAAAAACCTATTCGTCTTGCCACCGCACATATTTTCCTCGCTTCGATAGCCCAACAAACAGGTATAATACTAATGAAACGTCGCTCTCACCATGCCAAAAACGTATGCATAATCTCATTACTTAATGTAAATACAATAACATAGATATCTACTTTTCTTCACGTTTGTTCTTCACTTTGTGACTTCTATACTCGCATACATATTCATTTGACATTCGGTTTTTATGTGCACTATACTTTGTAATATTTTTATGTTTACCTCATTCAATACATGTATATATTTCCCTTAATCAGTGCCTTTGTTTCCCTCAAAGCTTAGCTAAATACCTCTTTAACCTTTAGATAGTTAGTAGTTTTTTCATACTTTTATATTTTCCCTTAATTATATTGCTTATTCTAAATACCGTCCTTTGTTATTTATATTACAAACAATTAATGCGCCATAGAATCATTCCTGATACTTGACTTCAGTTCCTCAATAACTAGGTGCAATAACAGCAGATACATCTTAACCTGTTTTGCTAATGCTTTCATTGTGGCAGTGATTTTGTTTTAACTATATTTAGTTTAAAGTAGTGTGCATGAATGCAAGTAGCCAGAAAAAAAACGTATAATGTTTGTGTGTTTTTGACATTAATCTTCATATATTTCTCTTCCATTTTTTAACTTTGTTTGAACTAGCTTTAATTTTGATCATGTACGACCAGGCCTTCTTCAAAAGGTATGAAAGAATGAAATATTTCTTCTGGAAAAATGTTAACGGCCTTTTAAGTAAGGAAGCTGCAGCTCCTAAAATAAGGGCTATGCGATGCACCGGTACAAGCTAGCTAGCATGGACAATAATATGGACAATGTTGGTTTGCAATATTACGTTTCCTTTGCAAGTTTCAGCTGTTATTCCAGATTGAGTAATGTGTGGCACACATGTAAAGGAATAAATAGTGCCATTCATTTGTGGTTTATACTAAACGGTGTCTTCTGATATAACTACATTTAAACGTTCTGATATAAATGTAAAAAAGTATGACAAAAAATGTTGCTTTTACTTGTATTGTGTCATCGAACCTTGTTTGTACATTAGATAAAAGCGCAGAGTTGGAGAAATCATGAAAATACCGCTAACAGCAAGGTCAGTTTCAGCAATTTAATTTTCAAATTCCAGTGGATATGCAAACTTATGGTTGTTTTAAGCTGATGGTCAGCCTGCCCCCCCCCCTGAAAAAACATGTGGTAGATTTTTTATTCGAGCTAGCATATCATGTTTTTTTTTAAAATAGCTTTTCTATTTTAAAAAAAAAAGCATTGTATTTTTTGGAAAAAGCACATCCGATGCTGATAAAATCCAGCATATAGCGTCTGGCCTATTAAATCGCTAGCAAAGAAATAAGTAGTGCCATATTGCTATTCATTCATGGTTCATACTAAAAAGTGTCTTTTGATATGAATAAATTTAAACGTTCTGATATAGAAAAGTAGAACAATGTTGGTTTATTTGTGTTGTGTTATCGAACCTTGTTTGTACACTAGATAAAAGTGCAGAGTTGCAGGAAGTGGATATATGCATTAGAGTGGATATATGCATATTTAGGGTTGTTTTAAGCTGCAGCTTGATCATGTTGATCATGGTCAGCCCCCGCCCGGCGCCCATCTGTCGATTCTAGCTAGCATAGCATCCTATTTTTGTAAAATAGCATACCCTAGCTATGTTAATAAAAAATCCCATTCCAGCATAGCATCCTATTTTGTAAAAATAGTATCCTATTCTATCATAGCATTCTATTTTTTAAAAATAGTATCCTATTCTAAAAAAATTGAAACCTATTTTACCTCTATTTAAAAAAAAATATATTCTTTGTCCTGTATTTTTAAAAAAGCTATTCTTTGTCCATGCTATTTTTCGTCTATTTTCCAGGGTGTCGAAATACAATGGAAAAAAATAGATTTAAAAAAAAAGCAATTGTGAATAGGAAAAAAAAAAAAAAAATTCTCTCTATTTTGTTTCGACCTGGGATATGCTGTTCGTACCACCCCATCACGTGCACCCTCTGATAAGACATTTTCCTCCAAGGAGGAATATGCCATCAGATAGAAGTTAAGTGGCAACTCAAAAACAAAAAGGCATGTGAAAAACATGAACAAATGATCAGTTGTCTGGAACAAATGTCATGCAAAAATACCACAAGCACAGTTATGGAATACTCAACAGATTAGGTGAAATTACAAAATAGGGGATGGGGGTTTCTCATTGAACGGAACGACAAGGCATACATTTTTATTCATATTGTGGAGAGAACTGTACAGAATCATTTATATGTTCAGAACCATTTACATCAGATACACGGCTGGATATGTGCCCTCCAGTCGACCAGCAATTTGCTTGCGCCGCGACGGAAGTGTTGGCATCAAGCAGAAGAGTAATGCCCAGGTCACAAAACTGAGAAATCGTGTGACTCTCTTGAAACAAGTGGCATCCCGACACAAAATAATTGCAACCATGCTTGCAATATTCCAGCAATCAACATACTAGTTTGGCTACTCTACTAACTGGTATTGTGTACTGTCATGACCCCTGACCCGCGTTACATTCAGACTGAACTACTCATGCAGTGTATACATTTTTCTCACTGTTCACAATTTGTTATATGTGCATAGCTCTACAATGGGGTGTGTATTGCAGTGTTGAATAAATAGTGCTCTCCAGTGCCGAGCCGAGAAATCAAGAATAAACCAGGTTATCACAGTTCATTACAAATTGGCGACGAGGATAGTTGATTTACCATGGCTGCCTTGATACGTTGAAAGATTGGGACATTATTTTGTCCCCAACGATGTCAAGACTGCAGCAAAGAAACATGCTTTGATGATTGCACTGATAAATGCAGGACCATTTTGCTACGTCATCTTTGCTGTGATGTCTGTGCAGCACTCTGCAAGTGTGGGAAACCTGCCTGCCCAGACAGATGCCATGCTCGATGCTCTCTATATACTCATGAAAGCCAGCACAGTGCAAACAGCAATCAGGATTGGTTAGTGATGAAAAGAAATCTGTCCTTCTGTTGTTTCAGCAGTGCAAACACACCATTACGAATCAAAATATTTTTAACTGATGATTAAGTCCTACCGGTACCCTTGGCATTTAGGACAAGGAAGGCCTTGAGCAATGCCACGGATGGATATTTGACTGACACCTTTTCTGACCTAGCCAAGTCCCCTCCAAAAAAAAACAATCACTGGCTCCTCTGATCCCCTGAAGGTCTGTGCATGCCCGCACGAGCAGAGTTATACACACTCAAGCAGTTCCCTCCCAGCAACCAGCCAACAAACAAAGGCTTGATCGGCCATATTGTCCAGGCAACCATGTTCCCAGACAGCATACTTGGAGGCAGTGTGTCACCAAACTCCAACTCGGGATGGAAACAAACATAAACATGCCCCAGTCAGACAAAGGCAAGTATGATGCTGAATAAGGCTGATGATCTAGCTTGGCCTCAAAATGTCTCATGACCATGCAGATCGGCTTCTTGATTTCAGACACGGACCTTCAAGGCACATGATGAGCATGAGATGCTAATTAAACTAAGGCTCATGTCATGCTATATGAAGCAGGAGTTCCTGGTTCATTTTAATGCAAGTGCTTTGAAGCAATTAAAGCTTGACGAGCCCACCAAGTATCTCTCCAGTAGAGATGTTTTTGCTGGTTCGGAAGTGGCAAAGATTGCCAAGGCAAGAGCCTCAAAGAACCAGACTGTTAGGACATTCCTGGAAGCCAACACATTTTTGTCTAACTCAAGTCACTGTTTGAGCAAAAGATGCTCTGTAGTTTAACTACAGAGCATCTGCTGCTCAAACAAGTACAGAAATTCCTTAGCAATGCAGCCATACACTTTATTTTGCACAAAATAGCGATAATGTGTAAACAATTATGCAATTGATTACAAATAATACCGAACACAAGTTGCACTTTTGTATACATGCATGTTGAGTGTGGACATTGAAGAATTGCAACATTCTTGCTACTTTGCATCAGCAATTGTCTGTGTTTGTGTTGCATTTTCTGTGAATTCAAGACAAGCAAGCTTCAACGTACTGTGGATGTTAGAACAGATGGTGCAAGTTCAGACTTAAAGTGTCTTTAAGTCTGAAAATATACTTTTTCAAGTTTCCAAAGAGTCCCAGAAGGTGCAATAAATGGGTTAATTTTGTGAAGAATACAAGGAGTGATTTTGTCAAACCGACCAAGTGGTCGTTCATCTGCAGTGTGCACTTCACTACGGGTTGTCGTGATGTGACATCAACCATGAAGGCCACACTTGGCCTGAAGACCAATGTCAGATATGCAAAGATGCCGTGCCTAGTGTGAAGCCGGCAAGCTAGTACAGTGGAGCGACACTTTTAGACTCAGATATGAATTGCATCTTGCAATGTGTTGTATGAAGGATTTCACCAAACTTTGCTTCAAGACATGAATGGTCAGACGGGGAAACAAGGCAACTAATCACGATAATGGGCAGGTATGAAGCCAAACTGAAGGAGTCCAAATTCAAAAAACCCATGTGGGAAAAAAAATAGAAAAAGAAATAGGTATTCCCTCAGATAAGTGCGAGGACAAGGTGAAAAGCCTAAAAAGGTCCTATAGAAACTATGTACAGGCTTCTTCAAGGACAGGCAATTCGCCCAGCCATTTCAAATGGGCGAAGGAAATGAAGCCCCTGATGTGTAAGGACCCGAGAGTAAGGCCAACATATACTTGCGACAGTGAGCTTAATGTGCTCAGCAACCTGGATGATTCTGAAGACGGTGTAGTAGCACTAATCCTACACCAAGGAACAGAAAATCAAAGAGCCACGGGTTAATGCATCAACAATTGACTCAAATGACAAACCACATGTAAGGAAGGGACCACCAATTCAGACAGTGCAATCTGTCCACGAGGACATAGTCCACGGGCCACCAGTCTTCTTCTGGTGTGGGTGCCGCACCTTTTGCAATAAATGGCAGGACAACCTACGGCGGGACTATAGGCAGCATCATCTGGACAGCATGGCAGAGTATAGCGAGAAGAGGGGCCAGACAGGAAAACAGCGGGAAGGAGTCTGCATGCCAGTGTCCATCAGCAGGGGGCTGTGCTATAATTTAAAGAAATAAATGATGGCAAGGAAAAAAAAGGAACAAGAAAAAAGCAAAGAAAAGAAGAAAGATTATGTAGCAAACCTTGTGCGTTGTGGGATCCCGAATGCACCCAAACGTGGCCACGCACGATCGAGGATCCTGCTGATGTGGTGCCAATGACTGTGCCAGCAGTCCTACATGTGCATTCTCCTCAAGTACGAGATGAACTGCATCACGGCAACAACATGAACAATGTGTCAAGGCCTAGTAACACTGGTAGTCCTGGGGGTGATGAGTAAGGTATTACTTCTCACACGGAGGCATAGTGGGATTTATGTAGAGGCGAGTGACCGCCTTGTACCACTGTTCAAGATAAGTAAGGGCGCATCCTTTCGCTTTCACGTTCCTCCCAGTACCAAAGACAAGCAAGATTTGGTCAGGGCAATATGTGGATTTGCCACCACTGTACAACGATACCGCACATGCAGTATTTTCACGGTCTGAGCCGTCAAATCTAACATTTGCAATGGAAGGGGACAACTTGGTCCTCAAAAATCCTAGCCCATCCCGAAACCGGATCAACTCATTCAAGGTTTGGCAATCCGCCTTTCATACGTTCATGACCATTTATCGGGAAAAACACATCCATCGATACGCACAACTTCTGAAATATTGTGAAATAGTTTGCATGGCGTAAACCCAGTTTACGACGGAACACTGACTTATTTCACAGAATATTGACATCTTACAAAGACATGCCGTACAAGAAGAGTACAGCGGTTCGACGACCTGGGGAAGATGCAGGTTGAGCCCCTCAGCCGAAGAGGTCTGACCAGAGCCACCAGCTTGTCGTGGAGGAGGGCGATGCCGAATGCACCCCAACCCGGCCCCGGAGGAGGATCTTGCTGAGGTGGTCCCAATGACCCAGCCAGCAATCCTGGATGTGCATCCTCCTCAAGTACAAGATGAATTGCATCACGGCAACATGAACAATAACACCGTTTCTTACTCTGAGTCAAGGCCTAGTATTATCACTGGTAGTCCTTGGGGTGGTGAGTAAGGTCTCACACTGAGGCAATTCCACTTAGTGGAATTCATGTAGAGGTGAGTGACTGCCCTGTGCCATGTT